TATATCCAAAATTTGCTCGGATTGGCCTTCGGATAACTCGTGTTATCTTTTGTCATTAAAAATTAAATCAATTTTTACCTTTAACACAGGATTAATTTTTGTCGATACAACTTTATCATTTATTTCTTCATTGTTATTATTTTCTATTGTCAATTTTTCTGTAAATTTTAACATAACTTTTTCCAATCTTTCCTTTCCAAAAAAATGTTGTAAAAGTATTTCAATCCTCTCATCAGCAAAAATTTTTAAAATTAAAGAAAATTTGTTTGGAAAATTTTTTGTTCTGTTGTTAATTCCATTTGTATATTTTATTTTAATTATTAAGCGAAGTAATCTTGAAGTGAAGCCTTTGCCATCATTTATGTCTATTGCTTCGATCTTTAGAAATTTTTTTAATTTTATGTTTTTCTTTAAATAATTATTTTTTATTAAACCAATAATCTTGCCAGACCTTCAAACTTTAAGTGTAGGGAAACTTATCGAGACGGATATATCGGGCCCAGCGTTCGCAAGTCGTGAAGCCAATAGATTAGCTTTTCGCAAAGTGAAACATCCCAATATGCCCGTCCCGATATTTCTGCCAGCCATAAAATTAACACAAAGAAATTTTTTGTATTTTTGGCTATTTTCCTTATGTTTCCTCATGACGAGAAGTCATGAAGAAATATCAATGACGGTTCCTTATGATTTTGATAAGGTTATGATAAGTTTGATGCTGGTTGAAGACGAGCAACAAGCGAGGATAAGGAAACATAATTGGAAAATTAAGGAAAATAGGCAAGAAATAAGAAAAATTTCTCCATGTTAATAACTATAGACGAGACGACACTGTGAAGGCGTATATTCCGAAATATATCTATGTATCTAGATAGCTTGATTTTTGATGTATCTTCTCCTGTTCCGATCTTTATATTTACTCATAAAAAAAGAAGGATTTCCCATATAAATTTTACTCAAATCTTTTAGAGATTAATTCTTTACCTTCTCAACGAATCCCCCATTTTCTAAAATTTTTCTAAATTCAATACTTCCATTAGCCAATTCATTAATTATGTAATCAAAAGTAATCCAATTGTATTCTAATATATATTTTAATTTTAATTTTGGGTTAATAAATTTATTATCAAAATTAAAATTATTTTTGTTTTCCTCTTCACAACAATTATTTGAAATAATTAAATTTGAAGGAATTGAATTATTTATTTGGATGTTATTTGTCATTTTAAATTTATTAAACAATGTAAATTAACTAAATTTATTAGTAAATTTTTTTAAATTTTTCTATCACGGATCAACTTGATCGTCTATAACTTTTTTGTACTTGATCCAATTCACATGAATCTTACATCTTTCCATTTATCTTATGCTTTTCACATTTATCAGTTTGTAACTTTTTAACGAGTGATCAGACCTGATTTATCAATTTGCAAACATGTAAAATTTACCGAGGGCTTTCTAATGATGTAAGATTCATTTGTATTGCATCAAAAAAGTTATAGCTGACCAAAGTCTGCTGACACACAATTTGTGGGCATATAACGGATAATTATTAAGAAGTTCTTATTTCGTGCAAGCCCTAACAGGTACTTTTTTCGACCCATACCCCAACACGACTTTTTCCTTATTCGTCTCATCCCTGATCTTAATTAATTAAAAAGTTAAAATATTTTAACATAAAATTAGAAAAAATTTTTTTCTCAAAAAATAAGACTGAGATTCTTAAATTTTTATTTACAAAAATACTTATAAGAAGAATTGAACGAAATCAATTTGTAATTGTAGTTTGTTAATATTTATTTCTAACGTTTAAATTAAAGGGAGAAAATTTTTTGGTTCAATCACAAAATACATTTTTTTAAATATTAAGGAGGCTTATATTGAATTTTTATGTTAAAAAATATTAAAGTTAAAGTCTTTAGATAAAAATTTTGAATGATTAATATTAATAACGGAATCGAAATTTTTTTAATTGAAAAAGCTACACGAGACAAAAAAACTAATTTAGAAAAATAGATAAGAATTATAATAAATAACAATAAATTGATATTCACAAACTATGTATGAATGAAACAAAAAATTTAAGTATTGTGAGTAAATAAAAATGGGGTAGCTTGTTTTATTGAATAATCAGCTTGGGTGATTATTTTTTTAACTAAAGTTGGGTTTAAAAATTTTTTTTCAAAATGTTTTTAAAAAATCTAGTCGATTACAAGCAAAAATGAGATTACTCTCCATATGGGTTTCCAATTTTTGGAGACCTATATCTCGTTACATAAGCATTTCTGCACATAATTATGTTGAAAATAAAATATTAAAGTTAAAGTTCTTAGATAAAAATTATACACAATAACTTTAGATCACATACATTCGGCTTAGCTTGTCGAAGCGACACATTTTGATTAGTTCCTCGACTAAACGTATTATTTTTTATTATCATTTATTAACAACAACCGGTGCCCCCGCTTTTCAGTTAATCCAATTTAATATTGGATTAATTTGAATTAATTCGGTTTTGAATATCAGCTAAATAACGATTCTATTTTGGGGGAATTTTTAAAAAAACAATAATTTTAGAAATTTTTTATTTTTTAATTTCTATAAAAAAGCAAATTTTTGGCAAAAAATATCAAAATACTTTCGATTTTAAAAACGATCACCAACAACCAACTCCATTTAATACTTTCGACAAAAGGGATATTAACAGAGGGGGTTTGGATATATGTGTTCTTAAATTATTTTATAGTTTCTCGTCGAGTTTAGTTAATAATGAACTATATCTGCAACAGTTATGATATATTTATGATCAACAGGTATGATTGATTATCAACAGTTATGATCTATCGCATTTGCTCTATTATAATAACTTTAGATCACATAGTCAAGTGGTCCTAGTTAATTTTTAAAGACTTCATGATTAAGTACTATAAGGCAAAAAATATGAATATTAAAAATCTGAAATCTTACCTATTAAAAGAGGAAAAACAAAGAAAACAAATGAAAGTTCCTTAAAACGACTGTTTGATAAATACATATAATCATCACAAACTTTCACATTGGGAGGGGGGTTAACTTATTAGGTATTTTTACATTTTTTCTCTTTAAATTAGTTTCTCTTCATTATTAAATCTTAACTTTCAAAAAAATTTTATTTTACATTATCATTTTTATTTTTTTCTATATTAAATTTAAAATAATTTTTACCATTTTAACATTTTTTCTTACTTAAAAATTGATTTTTATTCATTGTTAGCAAACAAAATTTTTCATTCCCTCAAACATTCATCTTTAACAACAATTTCCTCTTTTTCCTGTTTTTACACACCACAATAAGACTCTAACTAAAAATTTTCTCAATCAATTTTCATTTAACTTTTTTGTTAAAAATGTCTAGTCTTTTTATGTTCGATTTTTTTAAATCCTATATTTTCCAAGGTTAACTATAACAATAATAATTATTTCTGTTTATTACAAATTATCCAAACAATTAAAAAGCTATTTTACTTCCTAAGACTAAATATGTAGAAACACATTCGTGACTGAGTAAATCTCGGTCCTGGTTCTGATATTTTCCTTTATGTTAAAAATTTCCAGTTTGCAGTCCATATTTTGGCTTTTATTTTTTCATTTGATTTGATTGATTTGATTGATTGTTTTTTATCAATAATTTATCAATCAATAAAAGCTAATGGATAATTTTTTCGTTTTAAAATAAATATTCCTACATTTTTTAAAATAAATATTTATTTTTGAGATGTTGAATGAGAAAATGAAGGAGAAAATTTTATTTAATTAAAAAAATAAAATAATTAATCAAAAATATATTTTATGTTCTTATTTTATTTAATTAAAAGACCTCAATTTTTAATTAAAAAAGTACCAAAATTATTTATTTTATTTATTTTTTCTTCCCTTTTTATTATTTTACTAATTTATTATGAAGAATTAAATGTTGGATATGTTGTTAATTTATATGGAAATTATTATACAAAAACGGTTTACAGAGAAATTGATATTGTACACAAACAAAGTGAGGAAAATAAAGCGGCAATTACTCGCTCGTGAACGGGAAAAAATCTCACCCTGAATGATGAAAACTAAGAATGGGTCGGGCTGAGAAAGAAGTCGGGCCGAATTTTCAATATTTTCTTCAGATCGGGTTTCTGGTCGAAAAAATGCCCGAATTTCCGCGTGGCAGTTAAAGAGTTGAACAAAAAGCCATATTTCTCGGAGTGATTTGGGTATATCAGTGATTTTGGACAGCGATTTACATATCAGTATTTAAGGGAGTAAGGTGGCAAACACCTTCAACTTTGTTTCCAAGCAAAGGATGGGTACTTGGAAAATTTTTGATTATATTTGTTCCTTGTTTCTCTTAAGCATAATTATGTGTCCGTTTACTTTCTAGTTACCCTGTACATATTTCAATTTTAGATCATCTCGAAAAAATTTGGGTAATTGTTATTGTCAATAATGCCCAAATTTTGTCAAATTACAACCTTGCACAAAGCACATTAAGATGTTATTGCCAGTTAAATGGGTATCCTCTTGAAGTTATTAATGCTTCTGAGATGGGAAAGGAGAATGATAATTGTAAACAAAAAGATGTAAGTAAATAGATGTTCAAGTTCGACATTTTAAAATCGCCAGGCATTTAAAATGGCCGGGCCGGAGTTTCAGTGAAACCCAGTATTTTATCAAAATACCCGGTCTACATGCTACTGTGCCCGGAGATCCAGTCCATTCAATAATAAATATAATTTTAGATTAGTTAAGGGTTCTAAAAATATTTCTTTGATTCCTAGAAAAAGGAATTCCGAATATTTCCATGTTTTGTAGCCAAGTAACAGGGGTGTGCTGAAACTTAGGATGAAAGACAAATACCAAAAATATGAAATTCGGCTATAGGCGAAACTGGGGCTAAATATTTCCCCATTCTCCAAACGGTATTTTCTTAATCCCTCCAGCCAACAACCCTAGTTTCCAGACTTGTTAAAAATAGAATGGCCCTCTATTCTATAATAGGAAATACGGTCTATATAATTACAAAAAATTTTTTTAAGTTTTATTTCCAACGCCATTGTATTCTTGCCAATTTTCTTTCTTCTCACTCGGCGGATATTAAATTTGCCTTTTTTATGGATGCAGATATTGGTGTCATTAATCCAAATCATTCACTAGAAGAATTTTTGGAAGGAAAAAAAGATTTTGATTTAATTTTTTATGAAAGGATATTTAATGGGGAAATTATGGCTGGAAGCTACATTTTAAAAAATACTCAATTTACTAGAGAATTCCTTTATTATTGGGCTGATTATTATTTTAAAGTGCCACATAGTTTTCATGGAACCGACAATGGAGCAATACATGTATGTATGTTTATTAAAATTTATTTTCAGTAAATTTTGATTAGAGTTCGATATTAGGGACGGGGATTGTCTACAGAGAACTGCACGGAGGAAGAACGAGGGTGGGGAAGCTCAGGGGAGACCTCCAACATCTGAGGAATTCCATTCATCGAAGTAGTAAATTCCATCTTTAGCCACTGCTACCCGAGGCTAATACGGATATACAAGCTTAAGTTACCATAAAATTTCTCTAGCTATTTTTCAATTACACTTTCAGTTGAGGCTCAAGTACATTGTGGGTACTTATTATCAAAATCTTTAATGTACATTATCAAAATGATTCTGAAATTTTATTTAAATATTCTCTTGTATTTTAAACTTTTTTTTATCAAATTCACCTTCATTTTAATTGCTTAAAATAATTAAAAAATATTATTTAAGTCGGTATTTCTCGATTTGTTTTGTGATCATTCAAATAAAAATTGCTCTGAAAAAAGACGGGTCTGTTCACATCTGTGGAATGTTTCACTCGATTTTGATACTCTATTACCTTTTACTTTATGTGCCAAATATATACTCGGAGCTAGAAATTTATTTACAAGTTCAATTTCTGAAACAAAATTAAATAGTACAGGAAAGTTGCTTCTACTGACTGATTTTAGGCAATATTGGGCAAGAGGTTAGAGCTTAAGTAATATTACTCTCTAAAATAATTACCTCCTCTTGATTAATTACCCCGTCTATCGGAGGCTGTAACCATAATTATCCAGGGCAATAAGTTGACATACACGGTATGAATTTTAACGAGGTGTTGAAGGATGTGTGAATATGAATATATGTAATGAATATATGTATATGAATATGAATATATGTAATGAATATAATATATGAATATGAATATATGAATATGAATATATGTAGGATTGTGATTGAACTATGGGTTAAATAAAGATAATGCGATTTTCTATTATCTAATCTCGCCTTTTTAGCATTGAGTTTACTTTAATTTAGTTTTGCCTTAATAATGCTTTATCCTAGATAAATTATGTCTGGATCAGAGGTCCTATTGAGTCAAGGTAAAGAAGGTGGCTCTAAACTTGCTGTCCCTGAACCAGTAACTTCCAGAAAGTCGATTCTTCATAAAAAATTATACAAGGCCTGGTAATACTTCCTAAGGTCCTTCAAAATTAAACCTCTTTCCAAAAAACCTTCCAAAAACCTGCGTCCAGATTCAAATTCATTCGGTTCTTATGCCTCAATTATCCCATTCTCAATAGATGCTTATTGTTAATATACATATATCCATATTTACAAATTCGATTAATTAATTAATATTATTAGATGGCTGGTTAACTGGAAATTGTTGGTCATCAAGGGATTTTTTAATTCATGGATGGCAGAGTCGGTAAATTCCTTTTTAAATTCCTGTTAAATATTTCATTTTAATTTTTCAAGTCGTTTGAATCGACAAACATTTGCTGGTTGGAATTCACCATTTTCTTTACAAAAAATTGAAAATCAACCTGAAAATTGTTCAAACCCAATGATTGCATTTAAAGAATGGCCATATAAAGATACTTTTATTTGGACAAATGAACAAATTGAGAATGAAATTGAAAGGATAATTAAAGAAAGAAATATTAAACATATGGGGATTTTAATGAAAGAAGTAATTAACAGAAAATATTGAAAAATTGGGGTGTGTATATTAGCTCGATCCTCGGCGATGCCTCGACCTCATGCTACTATATGTATTTTAAACGCACATTGTGCCAATAAACTAGATAATTACGGGTTAGCTTATTTAAATTTATTTTTTAGACAAAATTATTTCATTTATTAAAATATTCGTTAAAAACTTTATTTTTATTTTCAACTTGTGATTATTAGAAAAATAAAATTTGTTTATTTCCATCACGTCATTCATTATTTTTATTTTATTATTAATGTTTTTGCACAAAATAAATGAATGACCAAAAATAGAATAAATTTATTTATTTTCACGTGAATATTTAATAGTTTTCAATCTTTGCTATTAAGTAATTCTAAAATATTTTTTATTTAAAATATTATTTATTACCATTCTTTAATGTAATTATGACGTGATTGAAAATAAATAATCTTTTTCATTATTGTATCCAAGGTGAAAACAAAATAATATCATTTTTAACAATAAATTAGTATAAAAGACGTGTAATTTTAAATTAATTTGTCCATTTCACTAAAAATATTTTCATAAAAATAAAAAATACTACTCCGCAAAATTATTCGTCCACCCCCTTTTCCAAAAATTTTAATTAGAGTTTAAATTTACTCTTAAAATTCTCAAAATTTTCACTTTCGGCGCTAAAAATACACTGGTGGAAAAAAGTATTGATCCCTATATTTTTTTCTTCTTTCTTCTTTCATCTTTCATTCAAAAAATACGTTCTATATATCAATCGAAAGCTCTATCTGTATCTCAGTTGACATGTTTCTGCATTTTTCGAAATTCTTACATTTTCGAAAAATTTTCGACCGGTCTAACAGGTACTACTTTTTCAACTTTTCGGAGAAATTTTTTTGAGGTCTGTAAAAAATATATGTGATTCTCCTCTAGATTCTACATACACTACAAAAAAATCATCCAAATCGGTCGAGATTCGACCGAGTTATGAATTTTTGAAAATCGAAAAAACACCATATTTTTGCCATTTTTCGTCAAAAAATCGTGTTTTTTCGATTTTCAAAAATTCATAACTCGGTCGAATCTCGACCGATTTGGATGATTTTTTTGTATTGTATGTAGAATCTAGAGGAGAATCACATATATTTTTTACAGACCTCAAAAAAATTTCTCCGAAAAGTTGAAAAAGTAGTACCTGTTAGACCGGTCGAAAATTTTTCGAAAATGTCAGAATTTCGAAAAATGCAGAAACATGTCAACTGAGATACAGATAGAGCTTTCGATTGATATATAGAACGTATTTTTTGAATGAAAGATGAAAGAAGAAAGAAGAAAAAAATATAGGGATCAATACTTTTTTCCACCAGTGTATAAGAGAAATGAACGTGAATAAAAATTTAAATTTTATTTTTGTAGCTTACTTATATTTAGAAAATCTTTCCTATTGTGTAAAATTTTAATAAAATTAAATAAAATTAAAATAATTAATTTAAATAAAATAATTAATTTAAATAAAATTGGAGTATTCTTGATAAACACACTCCCGACAAATACTCTTATCTTTAATTAAATATTTTCCCAATATATATTTGTCTATGCCATTCTCGATTGGTTTCCCGACATAAACATCCTTATCTTAAAGTAATTTCCCAACCAACATATATTTGTATACTCTTTAATATATTAATTAAATCCCGACATTGTACCTTCATCCCACTCTTTTATTCACATGCACAGCCCTATATAAAGAAACCTATTTAATCACCTTTACCTTTATTCTTACCTCAATTTATACTTTTAAATTAATACTTACTATTACTATCTTTAACTGAATAAAATATTTTAATTGGAAATTAGAAATTAGATAAATCCTCAGTAAAAGAGAACCGGTAATAGTGAACTAAATAAACATAGTTCATTTTGGTGCCACTCCGGGTACTTTTTCTGAGAGAATTTAAAACTTCGAAGTTTAAAAAGGATCTTTTGAAGTGTTGAGCTAGAAAAGCTCCACTTATTGAAATTTTATATTTTTAAAGCGAATAATTACTAGGTGTTTATTCGTGGCTAGGTGCCATTGGACTCAAAGGATATTACTAGGTGTTATCCTTGCTGAAAAATTGACTAAATAAAAATGAGTAAAACCGAACAAACTGGTTCAGATTTTGCTCAAAAATTCTTTACCGCAGAGGAAGAAAAAAATGGAATAGTTTACTTATCCGCCTCCGTTCTTTTGAAGAGGTAGTTTGCAAAACAATACGCCGTATTGAAGGAACAATTACGAATATACAAACGGAAAAACCCGATTTTCCTCAAATAAACTTTGTTCTTGAAGGAAAATTCGAGACGTTAAATGATAAAATTAAAATTGTAGAAAATTTTATTAAGGATGCAACACTCGATTTAGGAGTTGAAATTGACCTAAATAAATTAAAAATAGACGAAATTGAAGAAAAATTAATAGATAAAGGAGAAAATTGTTATGTACATGCTCTTTTCCAAGGTAAATGCACTGAACTGGAAAAAGAACAAATATTGCATTGTCAGCGTCTCAATATCATTGAAGAAGGACTATAACTCGCTGAACAAGATAATTTTGATTTAGGAGCTAAGTTTCGAGAACTATCAGACAAAATGGAAAGTCTAGAATTTAAAGTTGAAGTTTTGGAAAATGAGTCTGAAGGATCTGGATTTATATGGAATGGCCACGGGGGTGAGAAATCTAGTGAAAATAAATCCAACATCGATGGGAATAAGGAAAGAAACCCCCAAGAATATGAAAATATTGAGGGAGATGAAAACTGTGAAATAATGATGGGAGATCCGTTCCTAAATGGATTGAGCGCTCCTATAGGAATATACGATGGAAACCCCTGTAATTCTTTTGCACGCTGGTCGCAGCGTTTCAACGACGCAATAAATCTTTTATTAACCCCTCTATCGGAAGCTCAAAAACTAAACCGCCTGAAAGTATGTTTAGGAGGACGCGCACGAGCTGAATTAGACTCACAAAACCCACAACCGGAGACACTACAAGACGCGTTAAATTTTTTACAAGAGAGATTTGTAAATGGACATTCGCGTACGGTAGCTCGACAAGCACTTTCTATAGTTAAACAAGCGCCAGGCGAGAAAGTTTTCGCTTTTGCTCAACGCTTAAATGATGCTGTACGCGCAGTAATGATCGGATATGAGGAGAATATGATCCAACAGCGTTTATTAGATGAATTCTTGGATCGCCTTGTCCCCGAGTTACAATTTGAAGTCAAGGCTTCAAGACCTGAAGATTATACCAGAGCATTTGAAACAGCGGAGCATTTTGAGCTATTACTAACAGAAAGACGTCCACACTTACAAAATAATCAATTTGTTGATTTAGCGGAAAAGGTTGAAGCTCTAGTGATACAAAATGAAAATGATAAACTAAGGAAAATTTGCTACCATTGCCGAAAGCCTGGTCACATAATGGCTAATTGTAGAAATCGGAGTTACCAACAACCAAATCAAACGCAATTTAATAATTATAATTCAAATCATACCCGCAGAAATAACCAAAACTATAACAGTCGCGGAGATTATAACCAAAATTTTTACAAACACGGGAATTATCAAAATAACTATAGAAACCAAAATAATAACAGGAATGGGAACTGGAATAATAGGAATTCCCAAAATAATCAAAACAGATACAATGTAAGAGGAAACTTCAGAAATAAACAAAGCCACTCTCCAAGAAGAAGAGTGAGATTTAGTGAAAACCGAGTAGCAAGCCCTATTTTATCTAGCCCAAGATTGTTAAGCCCGTACTTTTTGGCAATATAAAGTGACCTTTTTCTAAATAAAAGGCCTCCCGACGTTATCATCCAATTCTCGTTCCTTATCTTATTTTTGTTATTCACTTTCCATTTATATTTTGACCCTTAAGTTGTCTCTATAAATACCCCAGCCTTTTCCTCATTAGAAGAAGATTTGGCCTAGCCAATCTCTCCCTTATTATTGTATCCCATATTTATATGGAGAATAAACTAATGAATAGAATAAATATTTGAAAATGTAATTCAGTCTAATACAAGTCCCCAGAATAGTAGAACCCGAGAAAAAGCTATATAAACCCAAATATAGCATTACCTTCGTTTAATCAAATTTGGGTATTTTTTGTTTGCTGCTATGTAACTATTTCTATAGCTGTACAATTAATAATTCCTCCAGCTATACTTCAATACTTAAATCTTTTATTTAATGTTAGTAATTCCTATATCCGCGCAACAAAATTATTACAAAAATATAAAAATAAAAGGCGTGAGATTCGAGAAATTGAATTGGCAGAAAAAACTGAAAGGACCCCTCCCTTAAACGAACGATGGCCCAGTATAGAAATTCAACACATTGAAATAATAGAAGTAGCATCATTTCATGAAACTCAATGTGACGAAAACTTTAGAATAAATACCTTAATAAATGAAAGAGAAATTGCATGCCTAATTGACACTGGCGCACACGTCTCCTTAATGGGAAGAAAAACAGCTCAAAAATTAAAAATAAAAAGAATTCAACCACCCGAAATAAATGCAATAGTAGGAATCGGAGAAAAAATTGTTCCAACTATTGGACAGGGAGAAGTTTTATTAAAAATAGCAGGTTGTGAAATAAAGACCTCGTTTGTAATAATAGAAAATGAGATAAGTACCACTGGTAAATACGATGTAATAATAGGAAGAAGTACATTGAAAAACCTCCCGCTCTTATTAAATTTACAAAATGGCAACCTAAAAAGGATTCAAAATGACACAAATTGTTATAAAATAGAATTTAATAAATTAGAAATAAATACAAATCTGAATGCCTTGGAAAGTGGAAAATTAAAAATAAGTATAAACAAATATGCAAATGTTTTTTCCAAGCATGATTATGATTTGGGTGAATGCACAATTACTGCTCCCCCAATCTTAACACATACTGAAATCCCGATAACCAGCCGACCGTATAGAGTACCAGAAAAATACCAGGCTGAGTTAAATGAACACCTGGAGTCTATGCTTAAAATTGGAGTTATAAAGAAATCTAACACTCCATGGGTTTCTCCAGTTGTTTTAGTAAGAAAATCTGATAATAAATTACGTCCATGTGTGGATTTTAGGGCTTTGAATAAAATAACAGTAACGGATCCATACCCTCTCCCAAAAATGGAGACAATTTTGCACAAAATTTCTGGCCATAAATATTATACTACACTGGATCTCCGATCCGGTTTTTGGCAAATCCCATTGGATCCAGGAAGCACTTATAAATGCGGAATTATAACAGAAAAAGGCATTTTTGAAATGTTAAAATTACCATTCGGTCTAAAAAATAGTCCAGCCATTTTCCAAAGGACCATGGACGAAATACTTACAAATGTCCCTAATTGTATGGCATATATTGATGATATAATCATTTTTAATGAGGAGCTGGATGAACATTTAGAGACCTTGGAAATTATTTTTTCACGTTTAAATAAATATAATTTAAAATTAAATTTGAAAAAATGTGAGTTCTGTAAAAATTCAATAAATTATCTGGGACACATATTAAATGAGAATGGATATAAGCCAGCAACAGCAAACATTGAAGCAATTAAAAATTTTCCAGAGCCTAAAACATGCAAAGAAATTATGCAATTTTTAGGTCTTGTAGGTTTCTTCCGAAAATTTATAAAAAACTTTGCTGAGAAGGCTGCTCCAATTTCAAAATTATTGAGAGGAAATGAAAAGTTTGAATGGAAAGAGGAGCAAAAACAAGCCTTTTTAAAATTAAAATCAGAATTATTAAAACCTCCGTGCCTATCTCCACCCGATTATAAATACCCTTTTATTCTATATACGGATGCTTCGAACATTGCCTGGGCCGGAGCACTAATGCAGAAGAAAGGAGAGAAAATAAGTGCTATAGCATACTGTAGCAAGACCCTTAATAGAACAGAGGCTAAATATCCCGCCACGCACGGCGAACTGGCCGCCATAGTTCATGCGTTGAACATATTCAGGCCTATAATATACGGATCAGAGCTTCTTATTATGACTGATCATAAGCCCCTTATATTTCTTTTCCAAAAAGCCCAAGTCAATGCAAAATTAAATAGATGGCTTATGGAGATTCAAGAAATTAACCCTAAAATTTATTACATAGAAGGGAAAAATAACTCAGTAGCAGATGCGTTATCGCGCGCAGAAATAGAATCAGCCGTAAATTGGGATAAAATAAAAGAGAAATACTTTAGAGAAGAAATCCCTTATATTTTAAATGGAGAAGAATTACCATTAAATAGGGAGACAATAGCTGCTGAAACATTAAAAGACCCCTTACTGAGAAAAGTCTTGAAAAATATTAAAGAAAATTGGCTAGAAGTAGAAAAGGAAGAAAGCGAAGAATTTGAAATAATATATAAATTAAGAAATGAACTTTATATTGAAGGTAATGTAATTATAAAAGGTATTTCTCAAATATTAATCCCCTCAAGTCTTCGCCAACAATTATTAAAACTATTACATAAAGCTCATTTTGGGATTGAGCGAACCAAATGTAGAGGGAGAAAATTCGTGTGGTGGCCAAACTTTGGCAAAGACGTAGAATTATATATAAGTGCGTGCCAAATCTGCCAAACAAATGCACATAAACCACCAAAATTAGACCCTAAACATAAATGGCCGCAGGCTAAATTACCAATGGAACGTTTACACGCCGACTTGGCAGGTCCTATCTGGAACACAAACTTTTTAATAGTTGTAGACGTTTATACAAAATATATTTGGGTCACACAATTAACCTCCACTAATTCACATGTTATAATAAACGCCCTAACAAATATATTCTCAATGTTTGGCAACCCCGTAAGTATTGTTACTGATAACGGGCCCCAATTCTGTTCAGTTGAAATAGAACAATTTTTATTTGAGGAGGGCATAAGTCATGTGAAAAGCCCTATCTACCATCCCTCATCAAACGGAATTGCTGAAAAAGCAGTGCAAACATTTAAAAGGGGAATGAAAAAATTATTGGAGGAAAAACATGATATGAAAAAAGCAATACAAATATTGCTAAAAGAATATCGGGCTTCGCCCTTACCCCACATTGGAGAGTCCCCCTCAGCCTTAATGTTTAAAAGGGAGATGCGCACTCAAATTGATAAGTTGCGCCTTAAACAAACAACTCTACAAAACAAACAACGCCAACATTTATCTAGGAAAATTCCAGCACCCTTCACACCAGGAGACTTAGTCTGGGTCTACATCAAAAATGCTTGGTCGCCAGGAGTGATTACGCAACTATTAGGTGATAGGATGTGTTCAGTTGAAGTCGAGGGGGAGGAAAAACAAATACACCATGACCATATAAAACAGCGCCGAAAGAGCAGCAGAGAACGACTTCCATATACACACTTTGATTAGGACTAGGCAATTATTCTTACTTACCTTTGTATATATCCCAATCTATTTAACCTTAACCCTTCTATTTAAATTTTATTTACCCAAAATTTTGAGACTGTTTTTAAATTTATTTTCAGATAATTTTTTAGCTATTTTTATTTAAAATGTCGGAGATTATGGAAGGCATAGTGACAAATGCTAACCCACCTATTGTGGAGAAAAAGAAGTACTTAACGGATACCGTTAAAGAATGCCACGAGCAAACAATTAATTTAATTCAACAGCTTCTCCCAAAAATACATGACTCCATATTGACCAATGTGGAAAAAATTGTGAAAGAAAATCTTAAAGGCATTGAAGCCAAAGTTGAAGATCAAACCGTTAGTATTGTCCGCATCGCGGAAAAACTTGACGAGACCGTGACCAACAAAAATTTTGAAGAGCTATCTCTTGGGTCTACTCCTGAACCAAATGAGGAGATAGAAGTAAGTTTGGGAGAAAATAAAAACAGGGAAATACCCCCAAAACTTAAGATTGAAAATGGTCCTGTTAATCCACAAATTCAAAATGGTCAAATTCAAAATGACGGCTCAAATAATCATAATGAGCGTGGTCGTCGTCGTGGTCGACGCGGAAATCGTAATGCTTACTTTAATAACCACGGTTCAAACCGTGAGCGATCACGTTATTTCTATGCTGCGCGTCAAGACCGTCGACAACAAGAACACTGTAGCTGTCACCAATGCAATCGTGGTCGCGGTAGACGTTTTCGCGCAGGGCCTCATTGATACTTTCTTTAAGAGGGAAGAAATGGAGTATTCTTGATAAACACACTCCCGACAAATACTCTTATCTTTAATTAAATATTTTCCCAATATATATTTGTCTATGCCATTCTCGATTGGTTTCCCGACATAAACATCCTTATCTTAAAGTAATTTCCCAACCAACATATATTTGTATACTCTTTAATATATTAATTAAATCCCGACATTGTACCTTCATCCCACTCTTTTATTCACATGCACAGCCCTATATAAAGAAACCTATTTAATCACCTTTACCTTTATTCTTACCTCAATTTATACTTTTAAATTAATACTTACTATTACTATCTTTAACTGAATAAAATATTTTAATTGGAAATTAGAAATTAGATAAATCCTCAGTAAAAGAGAACCGGTAATAGTGAACTAAATAAACATAGTTCAAAAATTTTCTGCTTTATCTTAACCTTTTTTATAAGAGCCCTGATTAATTAATTATTTAATACTGAAATTAAATTTTTTAACTTAATAAATAAGAATGGTGTGTCAATGCAGTTTAGTTTATTAACTTTAAATTTAAAATAAAAAATATTTTTTCAAAGATTGTTGTCGACAGAAAATTTGCTGTAAGAGTGGCGCTGATTGTTATAATGGTCTTGAAAAAATTATTTTTGACTCTATTATAGGACATGCGTCCCATTACATGAGTATTTAAGCGTCAATTGAGAGAATTTATCAGAGAATATCCCATGCATGTCCTATACTAGGAGCCTTAATATTTTTTTGTAAATTAATTTATTAATAGATGACTGCATAAATTGTCCTATACTAGGAGCCTTAATATTTTTTTGTAAATTAATTTATTAATAGATGACTGCATAACTTGTAAATGTTCCAAATGTTGCTGCTCTACATGTGGAAAAACTGGTGGGGATGGGCAGAAGATGTGCTGTGCTAAATAATTAAATTTACTAATGAGCACATTGAATGATGAGACAAATAAATGATTAATATTTTGAAAAATTAAAAATATATAGGCATCTAACAATTTTTATCATAAAAAACTACCTAAATTATATATTCTCATATTTGAAATAAAGATTTCCAAATTATCAATATATTAAAGATGTATTGATAATTAGCATCGAAAGATTAACGGTATATCTCAATTGAATATTTTATATATCTCAATATATATCTCAATTGAATATTTTCTAAAATATTTTTTGCTATTTTGCAGCAAATTTCAAGCCTTCCGAATGAGCCTAAAACATAAATTTTTGAAATTGAAAACCCCTGTTTTATTTTAAAGAACGAGTGAAAATAAAATTTATTATAAAATTTTAAAAATTTATTTTCAATTATTTTCAATAAATTTATCTATGTCACTAAAATAA